AACTGCAGTGAACACGTCATCACATAGAATGCAGGCAGAAGAAAACATATCTGCACTTTCTTGCTGCATGGACAAAGGAGATGGTGGGAGCACATCCATGATAGTCCCTGTGTGGGTTTCTTCAACCACCACTCCAGAGAGAGAGACCTTAGTGTATGCTTTATTAGATACGCAGAGTAGCAACACTTTTGTAGATCAAGAGGTATGTGAGGAGATGGGGATGAGTTTAGAGCCAGTGAAGTTAAAGCTAACCACTATGATAGGAAGAGATTCCATTGTTCAGAGCAAAAGGGTTAGTGGGATCAGAGTTAGAGGGTTTTACTCCAAAGGCTTTATCAACTTGCCACTTGCCTATACCAGAGACTTCATCCCACTTGAACGTTCACACATTCCCACCTCTGAAACTGCCAAGAGATGGAAACATTTAATCAGAATAGCACAGGAGATGCCCGAGTTAATGGATTGCAAGGTTGGGCTGTTAATAGGCTACGACTGTTCTAGAGCACTGGCACCACGGCAAGTAATCGCGGGAGGTGACGAAGAGCCATATGCAATCAAGACAGACCTGGGCTGGAGCATTGTTGGCAGTTCACAAAAAATGGCAACATCAACAGAAGTGACAGGCCTGTGCCATCGCTTATCTGTTAAGGAGCTTCCACCTCTGACACCAGCCACCATCATCAGAGTACTTGAGTCAGATTTCAAAGACACAGCTCCTGGAGAAAAGAGCATATCACAAGATGACATACAGTTCATGCATCTGCTAAATGAGGAAATACACCAGAATGCTGACGGGCACCTAGAGATGCCACTTCCCTTTAAGGCACGCCCTCAGCTGCCAGAAAATAAGCGTCTGGCTCTGGTGCGACTTAAGCACCTGAAAGGGAAGTTTGAGAAAAACCCCAAATTTAAGGACGATTATGTAAGGTTCATGAACAATGTCTTCAAGGAAGGTGATGCTGAAAGAGCTGAAGATGATCCCAGAGAAGGAAATACGTGGTACATTCCACATCAAGGCATCTATCACCCAAGAAAACCAGAAAAAATCAGGGTTGTGTTTGACTGCTCTGCAAAGTACAGTGGCACAGCTCTGAATGATCACCTCTTGACCGGACCTGACCTCATCAACAGTTTGACTGGAGTCCTCTGCAGATTTCGCCAACACCCTATTGCAATAATCTGTGATGTAGAGAAGATGTTTCACAGATTTCATGTAAACAGAGAAGACAGAAATTACTTGCGATTCCTGTGGTGGGAAAACGGTGAAACAAACACAGAGCCAAAAGAATTTCGCATGAAAGTCCATCTTTTCGGGGCAGCGTCCTCACCAGGCTGCGCAAATTATGCAATGAAGTATCTTGCGAGCCAAAATGAAAGGGAACATCCAACAGCAGCCAACTTCATCAGAAGTAGCTTCTATGTTGATGATGGGCTAGTCAGTGTAAAAACTGTGAATGCAGCCATTGAACTAGTGAGAGATGTGCGGAAGGTGTGTGCGAAGGCAAGATTACGGCTTCACAAGTTCATATCCAACAACAGAGAAGTCCTGGAGTCAATTCCAGATAGTGAACGAGCTAGTGGAGCCCAGGATGTGGACATCAGTCATCATGAACTCCCAGTTCAAACTATGTTGGGAGTAAGGTGGAGTGTAAGCAGTGACACCTTCTCCTTTAAAGTTGCCCTGGAGGAGAAACCACTATCACGACGGGGAATTCTTTCCATTATCGCCTCTGTGTTTGACCCATTAGGCTTCTTGGCTCCTTTCCTTCTAATAGGAAAGAAAATTCTACAGGAAATGTGTCTAAAGAACATTGGATGGGATGAGCCACTGCCTAGTGAATTGAAGCCACAATGGGAGAGTTGGGTCACTGATCTGAAGAACCTGCAGCAACTCCAAATCCCAAGATGCTTTGTACCTGAAAACCTTGGAAAAGTCCAAAGAATAGAACTTCACCACTTTTCAGATGCGAGCAATCGCGGGTATGGTCAGTGCTCATATGTCCGGGTGATGAGTGAAGACAGAGTGCATTGCTCCTTAGTCATAGGCAAAGCAAGAGTTGCACCCACGAGAGTTGTAACCATACCAAGGCTGGAATTAACAGCAGCAGTGGTGTCTGCAGCAGTCAGCAGAATGCTAAAAGAGGAACTGGAGCTCAAAATTGATCAAGAGTATTTCTGGTCTGATTCACGGGTGGTTTTGGGCTACATTAACAACGAAGCCCACAGATTTCATGTTTTTGTTGCTAATAGAGTGCAAAGAATCAGAGAAGCAACTGATCCAGCACAGTGGCACTATGTTGACACCAATCAAAATCCAGCAGATCACGCTTCCAGAGGCCTCACAGTGGCAGAACTGATCAGTTCAAAATGGTTCACTGGACCTCATTTCCTATGGGAAAGAGGGTTTGTCACACCAGACTCAACTCCAGACCTTCTGGTAGGTGATCCAGAGGTCAAAACGACACAAATACTACGTACAAAGGTAGTAGAGGACAGGAACTTCTTGGAGAGACTCAAAAGGTTCTCAAAATGGCATACAGCAGTAAATGTAGTTGCTAGGATTCAGCAACTAGCAAAAAAAAGCCAGAATACAACTAGGACATAGAACACTATCGAAAGAGGGTGAAAGGTTCAATAAACCATCCACTCTTGAACGCCCTATACATAAATTAGTGGTCCTAATAGAGAGTAATTAGAATGTTCCAGTGGAACTTCTGTAAATGTATATGGGATGGTTAAAGTGTTAGACTTGACTTGCAAGATTGTCACAAATGTTTGGTTCTGAAAATTTCTAGATTTATTCAAATTATTAACAGTTCATAAATCTTAGTAATTTGGTGGGAGTGTAACTGTCCCTGAGACAGTTAAAATAAAGTTGTTTATTTCAAATGTTTCTGTGATAGAGAGATGCTTAATTTGGTTCATTTAATTACTAGATAAGATGATAAAAGTGTAAAATTGATTTAAAAACATGTCTAAAATATGTGATTAAAAAATATGGGTTTGTTAAATATGTAACGTGCTGTAAAGTTTGTATGAGGTAGAGTTTGTAATGGTCACATGATCAGAGTTTGTTTGACAGCGCTACCATAGCAACCATAGCATGGATACATGGCTACAGATGCGTCTACAGCCTCGACGTTAATGTCATTCTGCATGTGGTCCAAGAGGCGCACACGGTATGGTTTCATGTATAATGTTTGTATAATGTTGCATATGTGTTCTACACTGGTAATGAGAGGACATTTTTGTGATTCATTATTGCGCATTTTCTTTCTGTTCTGCGAGACTGTTTATGGACAATGGTATGAGAGACTGATAAGTTCAAACCGTTATTGTGTAAACTTTGTGTTTCTTCAGTTTTCACGGTGTCTGAAGATAATAAGAGAGAGAGAGAGAGAGAGAGCAAAATAAACATCCGAAGACATCAGTATGATGCGTGGCCATTCTTTGTTGGACCCCTGTAGTTACAGTTCCCTTTTTCCCCATCTGAGCATCGGGGAAAAGGCTGTCTTGCAATTGTTGAGGTCACTAGTGTGTGCCCCATTTCTTCCAGGATCACTCTCTTTATAGGTTTTAATGGACTCCTAGTACTGTGAAGTGGTTCCATGGTACAAAGGCATTGTATTCCAAGATCTGGGAGACTATAGAAATGAGCAGTGATGCCCTTCCTACCATCTTTCCAGAAAAATAAGTGATCTGGAAGCTGTTAGGCTTATTTACAGCAGGAGCACTTTCTGCACCTGCATAAACTCCAGGACACATTTACTAACAGCGTTTGTTGCTGTATGTGCTGCAGCTTTGAATTTTTTAATAATATAAATTTTGTTAATATTTTGGTTATGCTGTCTTGTTATGAAGTGTACAAGAGTAAAAGTGTTTTAGCATGTGCTTCAAAGCTAAGTTTGACTGGGAAACTCAAAGCTCAATAGTCTGTATCAACAGAAATTCACTGCAGCCTATGTAATATTTGATGCGTCATAATTTATTCTACTCTATCTTGCAAATACATATTTGTGTGACAATGTCATGCACAACACACACAACTATTAGATCCTTAAGATCAAACCCGTGTCATTCTTTTGGTCCACTGCAGTGCAGCAGTCAAAAAAAAAAAAAGGAATAAGTGAAGTGGCCACAAATGGCCAGGATAGAGCCCAGAGTGCTAATGCTTAAAATGTATACAAATATTATTGATTACAATTCTTTACTGTTAATATCAACAATAAGCTTTTTATTTTTAAATTACAAGTATAAAAAATGCTGTTACATTTACATTTAATGCTGTTACACTGTAATCCTTTCTTAAAAGTATGGACATAGAATCAAGTGAACAACATTTTGAAATTTTAATTGGAATTTTGTACTATACAAAAACAAAACAAAAACAACAACAACGACATATTAAACAAACAAACAAACACAGTCAGTGCCTTCATTTGTCCATTACATGTCAAACATAGCACTGACCCTTAGTCCCTGCTCATCAAAACATGCTTTCAAAAAGAGCTCCATGTCCTCTGCAAACTGAAAAACAAAGAGGAACATGTCCCTTGCTCCAGTGTCTTCTTCCTCTGACGTGTCTCTTAAGACCCTCTGCTGGTCCCCTTGATTTAAGGACAGATATTTTGGCATTGTTACGTGTCCACGGAAAAGTGCCTTATTTTGGACAACCCACTGCACAGCAGGACGCAGATCTTCAACAACTGCTGGCTCCTGTGTCAGGCACATGGGGATAAAAACACAGCTATTTCTCTGTTGCAGAACAGTTTTTAACAGTTACTCAAATGTCACTTACCATGTAATTACACTACTGTTTAAAGTGAATACTGACCTGACTGACTTCCTGCAACTTGCGCTTTTTCAGTCTGAAAATGGGCACGTGTTGTCCTTCGAGCACAGCTTTGGCTTCCTCTCTCCAGTGTGCAAATAGCTTGCCAGAGCTTAACAGGAAATGTTGATAATGTTAAGGTGTGTAAACTTTAACACAACATAACTCTTCAAGTCAAAGCTCTTTTTTTCTGACCACTGCCCAGGAATGAGCTTCACTGCAAGATTCCTTTTTTTCAAGACAGTTACATTCACTAGTTAACAGACATCATCATGATGGGTGTGAAATGTTTATTGCTAATAGCACCAACTGTAACTACAGGTCTTAGGAACATGACCTCAACAAAACAGCATAACAAAATGAAAAAGTACAGTCACATGCTCACAGTTGGTCAAAATAAAGCATTTTCAGCTTTAATTTGAGGTTGGCATATTTTATAAACTAATATTTAATGGTGTTTTATGTTAAACTAAAATGTTTGAAGACCCTATTTATGTCTGAAACTCATCTAAAGACAGCATCACTGACTTGATCAGAATGTGAAGATGAGAAATAGAATAAAATGTTGAAGCATCGTGCTGATATAGTTTATAAAAAAAGCATGTGAGTGTACTGTATGTGTGAACAGAACATGATCATGCACTTAACCTGGAACACTGAACAGGTTCCCGAAAATTCTGGAACAAACCAAAAATGCTTATAAAAATGTGACCTCAAAAGTGAAACATATTGTTGGCCACCAAATCCTGCCTTTGTGTGTAACGGGTCAAGAAAGAGGATTTCTCTTTTAGGTGGCTTCAGTACCTAAAAGACAGTTAGCCATAACTTCAAACCTGAAAACAATGTCTTTGCAAGTGATCACAATCAAAGATGTTTGAAACTGCATCATAAAAGCTTGAATACATCTCAGACACATAGCAACATTCTAACAGTTTGTATGTGTCAAAAAAACAAGACGTACACACAACTGGAAATGAGCAGGTGTCCAGAGAGGGAGAACTATGATGTCCATCCTCTGAGCATCAGTCTGAAACAGAATTTTATTTTGAAGTATTCTGTATATGAACTCTCACCAAAGTTATAAAAAAATAATCTTTTTGATTACTTGCTTGTTTCTGTAAAGGACGGTACACTTACAGGAAAGGACTGCAATGGATCACAGCCATAGGGTGCAAGCCAAGTCCGGGTGACATACAGATTTCCTATGTAAATGCTTATCCCCTAGAATGTAAAAACAGCACATTTAAAACAACAACTCTTTAAATTAAAGCTGGACAATCATCCTATACAACATACAGTACCTTTGACTGAACAATTTTAGTGATAAGCTCAAAACAGCCATTTGCAATCTGAAACAGAAAAAATCATTAAAAAAATGAAAGTACACTTTATTATTTCATATTCATAGAAACAAAATACTTAAAGTCGATTCCATTTCTTTGTTTAAACCCAGTGTCCAAAAATCTGCCCGCGTGAGGCATCCAGAAGACGTTTCAACAATCAGCTCATCTTTGGGTCTGCTGATGTCCAGAACATAGTTGAGCTAAAAAAACAGAGAGATGTCATAGACTGCGGATGACAAAATCAAATAAGCACGTTGCGACATCTGAAAACTTTAACATACAAGCTGTTGTTGGCCAGGGTGCGGTACAAACACCACGATGAACGGCTGGCCAAAATGTTCTCAGGCTTTGTCAGAGCTTCGCACGGTGGTCCACACAGGTGAGGAAACGTTGCATCTGTTGACCTTCTATTGGCTTTCTTGTTGTCAACTCCTTCCTGAGGATCTGTAGGGACTTTAACAGGTTTCAGACAAAACACTGCATAGAATACATATTAAATGCATACAAATGCAAGAAAAATAAGCACTGTTTACAGACGGAAATTCATTTGAAACAGCAGATAACAAGTTCGTTTACGAGCCCGCAACTACAACAAGATAATGAATGCAAGATTATTATTTCACCTGTATATGACAATCACTATTCAAAATAAGACATTTTACCAGTGTCACCAGACATTGAAGGTGCTGGGTTCAACACCGTTTCTGTGGTTTCTCTGGGTTTATTGCACACCTGTGGGGCTAGGTACACAAAGAAAACAATATAAACACACAGATAGGAACAAATCTAACATGTGAACAATGGTAGCGTTCTGGTCATGAGACAATGCATGTCCTTACCTACGACAGCTTGACCCAGTGGTGACAATGAGATATTGATGTTTCCAAGTCGACCATGTCTTAGCTGCCTCTCCAGAAGTTTCTTGTTGGTGACAGTGTTATAATGATGAGTTATATTTCTCATCAGAAACACGTGTGTGGATGGACTCATGTTACTTAAAAAGTAATTGCTTTTCCTCATGTTTGCAAAGAACTGTTCAGCAACTTGACTGTTCAGCCAGCCTTTCAGCTCTGGGACAAGTTGAATTCTGCGTAATATGTCCTTGGGATCTTTTGTATTTCCCTCATGAAATCTGTCATCCAGGACATAATGGTCAGATGATCCAGTGACAGGATGAGGATCTTCATTTACACTATCCATCCTTTCATGTAGCCATGGAAGATTCACTTTCAGGCTTCCATCCTGTGCAGCCTTGACATTTTCCTCAGTGGGCTCAGCCAGTCGACCTTCATGTGGATGAAATGGCAGTTTATCAGGAACCCGCAAATTGGTGTGTGCCGCCAAACCCCTCGCAAAATCGTAAACACAGACGTTTGGCATGTGCTTCCAGGACAGGAGAAGGTCAGCAAAATCCCGGGGACTTTCAGCACGAAGATTAAATTTAACACTGTATACAATGCCATGTGGACATAGTATTACAGACCATCCTCCTGCAAGCAAAGATTTATAAAGTTCCATTCTTTCGTTCTTTTTTAAACACAGAAACAGAAACAGTTTTGTTTACCTGTTTGTAGCTACAGTTTCGCCGACGGCTGCCGGCTTCTTCAGGCTGACGCTGATGGTGGCACGTCACTTCCTTCTCCGTTTATCTGCAGGCAGCAGAGGACGTTGTCGCCCTCTACTGCCCGCTCTCCCCTCTCCGAGCGGGCAATGTCATGTTCACCATTGAAGTCTTCCGGGGCTTTGAGGTCACTCACTATAATAAATTGACTCATAAGAACATGCACATAATGTACACAATGAACTATGAACACAAATGTACTTTAAACTTACCTGCTAACTTGAACACCCCTTTTCTGTGTAAGTCCATAACTACCACTGAACTGTACAATGTCAACAGCAACTTTTAAGTCAACAAAGATACTGCAGAAGTGCTTAAAAAAGTGCATATTTATAACTATAAAGTATATTTAATACAAACATACCATTGAAATGCAAAGCATTTTTCATATGCACACTTAGATGCTCCTCAATCTTTGCCCTGACAGTAGGGCTGAAAGTGGGGCACAGAGGGCAGTGAAAGAGTCCTCTGCAGCACGTGTTGCATTCCTGCAATTCTGGCTTTAAGCCCAAATTCCAGATTGATATGTGCATCTAAAACAGAGAGAAAAACAGATAAACAGCATCTACACATTTAAGTTCAGGTTTTAGCAGAAATAACACATTACAGTTAGCATGTAATAGATTTGGGAGGAAAATTCTTGAAAAAAACAAACATTTTACAAGACACTTTCATTTGTGAGATATGTTTCTATTGACATATAACAGTCAATTGAACAAGGGCTAACTAAAATCTGGGCAATAAAAAAGCTGTACAGAATAGAATAACGAATACAAGTATTCATAAATATATAAATCTGTTTGTGACGAAATGTACGGTGTTGACGCTAACCTAAGGTGTCAAAAGTGCACACGTTCCTTACTACAGTTTAGATACCTCTGTTTAAAAATAGTCAAATAAAAGTAGAAGCATTGACTGGACTTTTTAGTCAAGTGGAAGTAAGAATTACAGGGTATAAAATATAATTTATGTACAAAATCCTGAAGTAATCTTGCGTCCAAAGCACGCGTGCGGGGGGCTGATTTACAAATGTACGGATTACAAAGTACAGACACGCGTGCTAAAATGTGAGAAGTAGTAGTATAAAGAAGTATACAGTAGGCACAAAAAAGTACAACAGTAAAGATACCAGAAAATTCTACTTCTACAGTATTGAAGTATTCGTTATTTTGCATCTCTGACGCCAACAATAAATCATACTCTAATGCAAAACGTGTTTTTTCTTCTTCTCGCCCACAGAAGCCGTTAATCCAACTCTCTTACTTAAACCAGGCCCAGGAAAAAGCATAGCTGTGTGTTCCTCTGCCATGGAGCACGATGGGAAAAAAAATTAAATAAGAAGTATTGTTGTTGTAACGCAAAAAAAAGTGGCAACATGATCACTGTAAGAAAACCAGAATTATGAAATCACTAACGGCGAGTTTATTTAAGAAAGACTGTCCCATCCTTTGCAAGACGTCCGCGGTATCCATGTGTTTATTGCCATTGTGGTGGTCACGTGCTTCCAGCTACTGTGGAGGTCACGTGTTTCCAGTTTCTGTGGAGCTCCACAGCGGCCGCAGCCAGACCCTTCTCAAGAGAGGGGACAAAGTAGCTGGAGTGTGTAAAACGGAACTAATGGTGGCATTAAACACTGACCCTGATAGTTCATGGCTATCGTCCGCCCTTGAGTGAAAACAGCTTTACATCCTTTCTAGTCTCTCTTCCCATCTAACACTTTATAAATAAACTGAACTGAACTAAGAACATCAGGAGGGATGAAATAATTTGTTCCTCCAGAGAACTGATTGTTGAATTCCAGTAACAGATGGATCAGTTTTCTCTTTGTCCCTAAAAACCTGCAGCTGTGTGATTCCAGCTAAATCTGCTCTGTTGATCGTTTCCCTCAGATCTTCAACAGTTTCTCTTTCCACTGTATAAGTCTCATTCTGTCACCTTTTGACCTGAACCTGTGATCCACACCTTCATCTCTTCCTTGTTGTTGCTGGTCCAACTCCAGTCCAGTAGGTGGCGCTAACGCGCCTTCACGCTGCCACATAACCGGAAGCTGCTACCAGAGCTAGCTTGTTGTTAGCTACCAGCGCTAGCTTGCTGGTCTGGTGTGTGAGGGGAATCTCTGAGGCTCTGCAGCAACAATGTCTTCAGCTCAGTCTCTGAGAGAGGTGATCAGAGAGCGGCTAACTGCTGCTGCTGCAGAAATCTTCTCCGAGTTTGAAAAAACCATCGTCCGCTACGAGGAAGAGATCGATCGTCAGCGCAGACTGCTGGAGATCAGCTGGAAACCACAGATCAACTTACACAGAATAGGTATGAAACAGCAGCGGGACTCATGTGGTTTTACTGAGGACACAATCTCAGGACAGTCTGCTTGGATCCGTTTGCTGTTCTGAAGCTTTTTAACACAACTGAGCTGAAATCAGTCTGCGGTAAACTTTGTTCCACTTTAGAGAAACAAATCAATAACATTTCAGGGATTTTAGGAAGTTTTCATTTTCAGGAACTCCACTAAATCAGTTTAAAAGAGACAAACTTTAAAGACTTGGTGAACGTTTCCAGCTGATGTTCTACAATCAGAGACTTGTTAAACGAGTCAGTCTGATAGATACTGAGTCCACACACACACACACACACACACACACACACACACACACACACACACACACACACACACACACACACACACACACACACACACACAGGTTAAGAGTTCATTGTTTTCTAAAACATCTTCAGATGCATCAGATGGTTCAAGTGAAGTGTGCTTTCTTATTGTCACATGACTCAGCTTTTTGTTTGGTCTGTTTGTCTGTCCAGAACTCCCACTGCATTATGTCAGGACAGATGAGGAGGTTCTGACTGACCAGCAGCTCTGGAAACAGGAGAGGACCTCCAGTTTGGAGCAGGAACAAGCAGAACCTTTACAGGAGGGACCAGAACCTCCACAGATGAAAGTGGAGCATGATGAGCCAGAACCTTTGCAGATTGTAAAACAAGAGGAGCTCTGCATCAGTCAGGATGAAGGGCAGTGTGTACTGAAGCAGGAGACGGTGACCTCCCTTGTGACTCCTGCTGGTGAGGAAAGAGACCACGATGAAGCAGAACCAGACAGACACCAACTCCTTTTGTCATTGTTTCCTGAGGCTGAGATCAGAGCTGCTGCTGCTCCGGGGTCAACAGGTGAGGGGGGTGCTACGTTTGTTTTCCTTACTGTGATGTCACAATAAGGGACTTCTTGAAACTGCTCATTTTAGGCAAATCTGCTTTATTTTAGGGCTGCCTTTTATTTGACGACTTTAGTCAAATAGAAGGCAAATCTGCAGCGAGGCTCCTAACTGGAGTGTAAACGTCTCTCCTTGTCCGTCCAGGGTAACTGGAGTTTTTCTTTTTGTTGCATCAAATCACCACACATGTACAATCAGGCCACAGACACAGGACTGCTCTTCAAAGCTTTTTACTGGCAGGACCTGATATAAAAACAAGCACACAATAGTTCATCAGTGTGTGTGCGTTGCAACTGCATACAACGGTCTCCACAAGCTTTCATTATTGCTTTTCTTTTTTTTCTTACATGTGATCGTATAGTGATATTTAATAATAACAGCAATATATTAATTTACCAACTTGCATTTCAAAGCAGTACATATTTTCTTTTCTGATAAAACATATAAAATAGTTCATAGTAATAACAATGACTTAACAGCGTAGCCGCTAACAGTTGAAACAGTTAACTGACATCAGTAGGTGTGTAACGGTAAAACATTTACAAATTATATTTTTACCAAACACATGTGAACCTACCTGATATAAAAACAAGCACTTAATAGTTCATCAGTGTGTGTGCGCGCTGCAACTGCATACAACGGTCTGTTCAGGGCAAAAAGAAACAACAAACATTACTAAAGAACTGAAAAGCTTGTCTCCATTAGCTTAGCATGCTAACCAGAGTGAATCTCATCTATAACGTTATTAATTTAATGCAACCACAGCTAACCTTTTTCAAAATACGCTCTAACAACACTTATATATCTGTAACAGGTCCTATTGATATATTAACTAAAGGTTAAAATGACTTAAAAAGAAGTTAAGTGCAGAGTGGCTTCACAGTACACCTACCTCCACCAGCTTTCAGTACTGCTTTGGTGGGAGGGGCCGTGAGTGCGCCTGAAGGACCCACCAGTAGGCGGCTCCAAAAACGCAAACAATCACTGCACATCACTTATGGTGAAATTCACATTTTTATCTGTTACACCAGCAAACGGAAGAGCTCACATCACTCCTGTTCTAACGTCTCTGCACTGGTTACCCGTTAACGTTAGAGTTAATTTTAGAATTCTGACTATATTTTAAGTTTGGATCTAACGCTGGTGCCGCAATATAAAAAAGCATTTAGAAAATGTTTAAAAATATATGTAAAATGAGCAAAAATAAGCAATTGCAATTTAAAAGAAAAAATGTTAAGAAAGAGAGAGAGTGAATAGGAAAGAGGGAAATCAGTGGATCCTGAGGAAGGTGGAATAGGTGGGGAGAGCAGAATAAAGAGAGAGTGGTGAAGAAGGTCATACAAAAGTCAGCTTGAACAAGTGAGTCTTCAGCTGCTTTTTGAAGGAGACCACTGAGTCCACTGATCTGACTGGAACATAATAGTTGTCACGGTGTGAAAATGTAACCTCGCGGTTATTGTGACCAAAGTTATCATGGTTTTCATTATTATCGTGGTGTTTTTTTTTTACGTGTTAACTAACTAAACCCTCTATATCAGGAAAATAATGTCATCAGTTTGTGTCTAAAATTTGTTATTTTGTAATCATGTTGTTTGTTTACATTTTTCCCCTTTGTCTTTAAAATACCAGAATTTTCCAATAACTACTTATTTTTTGTCCGTTTGATGTCATCATTTAAAAAATATGAGATCAGATTATACTTATTACTCAATTAGCATTCTAATCTCCCTTTCCCATATCCGGGTCGGTAGCGGGATGGTGCCTGTGCTTGGATTAGCCGCGGTCACCGACCACGTTTTCAAACTTTTCTCTACTTACCTTCTCTTTGTCGCCTTGCTTCTGTCCGCGATCCTCTTTGGTAGTGTCCCGGCTACCGTCTACCAGACTCTTGTCCTTCCGTTTGTCCGCAATCGCCCAAGATGCACCGAATGATTACCTCCATGTTTGTTTACGTGAGCAGCGTGCTGGCCCGGAGCCAAACGCTGATTCCTACCTACCAGTGATGTTTATCTGATCCCGGGAAAACATCGGAGGAAAAGGGGTAAACGAGCAGGAGTCCAGGTGAGATTAAGACTTCTCTCAAAGCGTGGTTTATCTCAGTGCTGATTGGCTCGAATAGAATTCTCGCGGGGTGGAGTTATTAGCATGCGAGAGGCATGGGCGGCTCCAGGAAATTTTATCAGCAGTTGCTGTACAGTTGTTCGTCGGTGTTTGGGGTTGCTGCCCCCTGTCGGTGCGTCCTGAAAAGCGCGGGGGTGGTGGGGGGCAAAACTCTGGAGAAACCAGTAACTCCGTCCCCTAGCCAATCAGCATCCAGAATCCCGATATTGGCCCAACTCTGCCTTGCCAGGTACCTCAATGGAGCATGGACTAAAAATAGGGGAGAAAGTACAGGAAAAATACCGAACCATGCCTGTGGAAACTAGTCGGGCCGATCTGCCCCAGTCTGAGTTACTCTGACTCTCTGGGAGCTGGTGGGATTTCAGTTCGCGTTGTACAGGGTAGCATGAATTAAGGTTTGTGAGGATGCAGCAGGAGTTGAGAGGGTTTTTTTCCTCTATACTCCTTCATTGCCTGATCATAAGACACTTTGTGAGCAGTCATCAAATTATTGACTACATTTGTAATTTTGCTCTGTGGTGCAGCTACGACAGCGTAGCAAAGTTTACACACCATTGTTACTTGATCCACGTCTGACTCCTCGAACCCGTGATGTTTCCACATCACCAAATTCGTTTTAACTATTTTCCACGAACATCTTTCTTTTTGCATCCATTATCCTCTCTCCAAACATCTTCTGCGAAGCATTCCTCACGTCTTCTCACTTGTTTGAGACGTGTTTGCAGCTCGCACTAAAATGGAAAGCGGTTGGAGCTGTGAGAGCTGCGCTTGATTTGCCACTCAGAGCAGCGCAAGAGTAAGCATGAGGGAGGAGCTAATATTTGGCTCATTCAGTTTTAATCATCATTTAAAACCCAGATCGTAATTGAGATCAAAATTTGAATTATTGAGATGCATTTTAGATGCATCAGATGATTACAACAAAGTGGTGTGTATATATATTCTTTTTGTAATTGTTATGTCACTCAACGTTTTCCAGTTATATTTTAACCTGTCCAGAGCTCCCAAAGCTTATTTTCTGGGAAAAGTAGAAGGTTCTGACAGACCAGCATCTCTCTAACTATTCGTCTGGTGCAACCTGAGTGTAGATATTTAGGTGCACCATTGAGAAATTGAGTCACATTTGTGACCAGAATCATCCCATTCTAGAGCCCTGAACTTTCTGCCTTCATTGGAACATTTTTAATTGCCACATTACTCAACATTTTTCTTTTTACCTGTCCAGAACTTCCACAGTATCATATCTGGGAAAAAGAAGAGGTTCTGACTGACCAGCAGCTCTCTGACCAAGAGTCAACCTCCAGTTTGGACCAGGAGGAACCAGAACATCCACTGTTCACAGAGGACCAGCCAGAACTATATATCCATCAGCATGAAGGGCCTTTCCTTTTGAAGCAAAAACATGTAACCTTCGTAGAGACTTCTCCTTCTAACGAAACAGACTGCCATGATCCAGAACCCAACAGGAACCAACCCTTGAGTCAGAATTCTATAGAAGCAGAGAACCAAGATCAGGATGGATGCAGGAAAGAAAACTCAGAATCAAACAGCAATGAAGAACTGACACGTAATAAAAGACGTCTGCGAAGCGAAGATCACAGGGACAATGTAGATGTTCAGACACTAAAAAAGCACAAGAGGGCTCACATAGGTGAGAGGCCATTTTATTGTAAGCTCTGTGGAAAATCTTTCAGTCACAAGTGTTTTTTATGTCGTCACATGAGAACTCACACAGGTGAGAAGCCATATCCATGTAACACTTGTGGTAAATGTTTTACTGACAGTGGCAACTTGACTACACACATGAGAACTCACACAGGTGAGAAGCCATATCCATGTAACACTTTTGGTAAATGTTTTACTGCCAGTAGTGGCTTGATTTATCACATGAGAACTCACACAGGTGAGAAACCATATCCATGTAAAACTTGTGGTAAATGTTTTACTGACAGTAGTAACTTGACTACACATATGAGAACTCACACAGGTGAGAAGCCATATCCATGTAAAACTTGTGGTAAATGTTTTACTGTCAGTAGTAACTTGTTTTATCACATGAGAACTAAACACAAGTGAAAAGTATTTTCCAAGTTTGGTTTGTATGAGATTCAACCAGATATTTTCTTTAACTTTTCATGTGAAAATTCACACTTGAGTTTGTATACATTAAATTGTGTGTGTGTTTTTTTTCCCTAAAGTTGAGAAGAAATGAGATTTTGACTACATTTAATCACATATACCTTAGGCATAAACTAGCCCAGTGTGACACATGTACAGAAATATCTTAAGGATGAGCGTTGATGGAAAAAGTATAAAAAAAAGGCAAAATTGCTTTTTATGTCTAATTGTGGACTCTGTTTATATTTAAACCCTAAGTTTAAGGTGTGGTTGACTGACTAAAAACAATAATAAGGTTTTTTTTTGTAATTATAATTGATCACTCTGAGTTTTTCATGCAGGCTGAACATGAAAATAGTCTCTTACACATTTCTCCTGCATTAGCTTCTGATAGAAAATAGAAGAAGAAACTCATGTATTTGAAAAGCCTCACAGATCTATGTCACACTGTGAATTAGCATTCATGGACTCGACGATCTTGATTCACGACAGGGAAGACTGTTGTTGTTTTAACGTCCGGTAATCAGCAGTGAACGTTTCGGCTAGTTTAAGCTAACTGTCAGCATTAGCAACTACACCTCACAGCAGAAAGTCCTCCAGGTTCATGTATATTGAGAGATAAAATATCCATGTTGCAAGTCAGTGGTGGAGTTGCATTGCTAGATGTCCACATATCACGAAATTAGGCTCAAACCTGCCGTCTGAAGCTCAGCGGTG